TAGATAGTTAACACTGAGGTTGAGCAGCATAGACATGGGATGACTTCATTTAGTGACGCATTGCACATTCCCCACTAAAACTGTGTGTAGATCCAGAACCCCAGTACACATTGAGACAATACATTATTACCGGTAAATGGACTTGAGCTTTTATAGTCTCTCGACTCAAAGTGCTTTTTACACCGCAGGTCACACCACATTCACAAACTGATGGCAGAGCTGCTTTGTAAAGTATCCACCACTTACTGATCCATTCATACACATTTACACCTGACGCAGCAGCGGGAGCAGTTCGGGGTTCAGTAGCTGACCTTCGGGTTGAGAGATTAATGACTCTACCACTGAGCCACTCCATGTTAAATAAATAATTTAATCTATCCTACACCTGGTCATTCTATAGAGAAATGGGTAACTACTTTCCACATTTTGATGATGAGACACGGATGAAGAACCTGAAATGTTCATTGACGACACAAGTTAAAAATCATGAAATCAGCTGCCTTGCTTTAAATTCTAGACTTGACTAGTACAAGCAGCTTGGAGCACTTATTTTGTTTGCACTCCTTTCTGCCAAAAAAGGAAGTTAAAGAGCATGGCTGTATGCCAACTTGAGAGAGGGGGTTAAGGGGGTGCAGGCAGTGTGGGTTAACAATGCTGGAGGGAGGTTTGGAAGAAAGTTTCTAAACCATGATGATCTCATATTTCAGTCTTTTTACAATCTCTCTCTCTCTCTCTCTCTCTCTCTCTCTGTCTTTATCTATAAACCCAGCCATCAACAACTAGTATTGCATGAAGTTAGTACTGTCATGACAATTTTGGTCTTAAATCTCAAAAACTAGTCTGGAATAAATAAACTGGAGCACAGGTAGTGCAGTCGGAAAGCTGAAATTCACCCAGTCTACATGAATTCATTAATGATGCAACTTCCTTTGAAGTCAAAGTCATTTTTTTCTTTTTCAGATCACAGTGTCCTTCTCACTATCTTCTCTGTGGTCCCCACCCCCAGCTATCTCTCTGCGCCATGCGCTGCTTTTGACTGAAAGGGGCGGGTCCTGTAAAAACCTAACCCCTGATAGGAACTCACAAGAGGAAAAAAATAATGTTGAAGAAAAAACAATGACGCCTCTGCAGCTACAAAATAAAACAACTAAAGCAATAAAGTGATTGTGAAGTTTGATGAACCAGTTGATTGGTCATAGAGGTGCAAATATCTCCCAAAAAGAAGAGAACAAAGAGAACTCAGAATGCAAAGACAGGCAATAGATTAAAGCCTTCTCATATAAACAACCAACCTTTATGATTTTCGAAATGATGCAAAAGGAATCTACATCCATCGCAAACTTTGAAAATGTTTCAGTCAGAAAGTCTGCACACACTGAAGACAGCAAGCTAATATTATGTCAGATTCTGTCAGAGCCGTTTCTACTTGTCAACCCCTTCAGGGTAAACTGCTATGTAAACCGCATTTAAATTCCTATTTTGAACTTGCTGGCCGCAGGTTACACTGATTGTTAACTTAAAACACATTGCGTCCTCATGAAAAAACAATACATCTTTTGTTTACTCAAACATTTGCAAATTCTTTGAAAGTCTTGAAACTGGTTTAAGTGGACTGCAGGTCTCTTTTTCTACTCATCTTTTATTGGTGCAGTGCACTTTTCAAACACATTTCCAACACTTTCTGTCAATACACATTAATTGTCTGAATGCAGAGATTACTACTGCCTCACTCTTTCAAAGTCTGCATCTGAAATCTGAAACAATGGAGATAAACAGAAATAACAACAAAATATGAAGAGTATGAAAATGTCTACACATTTGCAGAAGTTTTCCAGCTTATTTTGCCATTACCTGTTTGTCATAGTATAATTGTGCTTTCAAAGATTGTAGAATGAACATTTGTGGATCTATGTAGGTAGACAACATGCTGAAAACTATATCAGTAAAAGCATGTTAAGATCACCAGATGTCTGTTTTTGTAAACACAACAATAACTATCAGTGAAATCTGAGTTTTTAAAGTCAAACGAGATGCTTGTGGTTTTAAATCATAACTGTGGTCTTTATCCTGCAGCTCATCTTATTGTGACTCAGAGTCATATGACTTACAGGAGAAGTTCGGAAACTGTAAAATCAGCTCACACACCTTGCAGTGTGATCTGAACATGGATCCAACCATAACAACACGGTGACTTTAGAGGGCTAAAGTTTCCGAGGCTTTCCTTGATGCTGAGGTTTTACATTCCGCTGAGCTTCATGGTCACTTTGGTGTCTGTTTTATGTTCGGGATAGTGTGAAACATTCATCCCGGGCTGTGCAGTAACTCTCATTCAGCCTCAGAAAACACCTCCGTCTGCATCTGTCACTGTTAATGTCTAGCTCTGAGCATAAAGCCAGTGGATACCTTGACTCTTCATCATCATCAGGTGTCAATGGATCCTTGCCAATGCACTCTGCATTTTTTTGCCTTACCACTGAACTAGATAGTGGTTCATGTGGTTGGGATTGTAGTGCAAGTATAAGTTGTAGTACAAGAAGTGGAGTGTAAGTATTGGATCATTCTAATAACATTGTGACACTATTTAAATGACATAATGTGGTAAAGCAAAAGTGGAAAAACACTTACTCCTTGGCAAACGTCTGGCTGGTTCAGACTGAGTTCTTGTGTTATTGGTCTCTTAACTTTACAATGATTACATAATAAATGTGCGCACCATATGGTTGGCAAGGCAATCCCAAATACTCACTCCTCTAGCTGTGGTGTTGTTTTTCCATCAAAGGAAAGCCCACCCCCGCCCCAAAACCCCACAACCCTGCACACACGCACACACAAATACACACACATTAAAAGCCCTAAGGTTTATGCACACAAACACACATAAAACACTCAAGTGCACAACATTTCCAGTTTGTTTCTACATTAGCGAGCTGTTTCCAACAAGGAAACACAACATTCAAGATGTGTTTCCATGTGCTAATATGCTCTCAAGGCTTGCTTGAGGCTGCTGATGTAAGTCAATGTTTAAACACATAATACGCTTTTTTTCTAAAGCTGGAAACACACAAACAGCCTGAAGTACCAAACTAAAGCAATTTAAATGTGAGCACAGTTAATCCAAAATGTAACCTTCTCACCATCAATCTGTCAACAAAGATGTAACTTCGATAGAAATTAATCAGTCTTGTTAATAGTTGACGTAAACCTTAATTTATATTATGTATAAAAATAAAAAAAATCAACAACTTGTAATGTCAATAGATCCGTTCTTAAGAGGCCATGAAGACTTGAAGATCCATAATAACTGTTTTGATATATCACCACCACTGTATTTATGTATCACCTCCTAGTACCTATGAAGGTAGGTTACGTTCCTTCATTGGTACTTTAGCTCAAGCAGCATTTTAAAATTAAAGTGCCTGTGGCAGAGACGGGCATTTTGGCTTGTTATTCAATAGGCTCAAGAGGCTTTTTCTAAGGTTGTCCGCTATCCATAATAGCACATGGTTCACTGGAACTTTAGGCAAAAAAAATCTTCTTTCTAACTCAATCTCATCTGATGAAAGTTTCCCATTTTCACAGCTGACATCTGGGATGATACTATATCAACCTTTGAAAACAAAACTCAAAAGTTTACCATCAGCAGCAGGAACAGACCCTTCAAAAAGCAGCTGACATATCGTCTCTTACAGATGTAGCAGTACTCATTTCTTGGGGGTCATCAATGTTACTTTGAAGGAAACTTCTGTCATATGACAGCCGGAAAGGTCTGAAAGGCCTGACACATCAAACACATGAACTGGAGTGGACTCAGTCGGAAGTCCACAGGTTTTCACTTCAGGTTTAAAATTGGAAAATCCTGTGATGAAAGTGCAACAGGAGTCCTTAAGTTCAGTGGTTATATATGGGAGAGAAGCTCAGTGGCTACCTAATGCTGTCCCTGACGTGCTGTGGGGAAACAAATGGGCGTTTCTCTTCCTATTCCCCACATGACATGAAATCCTTTAAACTGATGTTAGAAGTCTGAGGGAACAGCTTGTTTTGCAGGGAGGAGACCACAAACCTGCTAAAAAAAACATGTGTGAAAGGACTTAGAAAGGCCACATATATCGTTGAGAAGTGCATTTTTTATTTTAAGCTTCAGAGCAAGTGAGTTAAGGACAGTTTGGTCTTTGAGAAGAGAAACCACGGCTCTTCTCTGAGATCACGTTGGCTGGCATGTTGCTAGTTTAAAAAATCTGATTTAAAACAAAATATATAGTGAAGAGAGAAAGAAGTAGTAGCATACCCCATGCATTTATCAAACACATTTGTGTGACAGCTGTTCGTCAGCCCTGTTTCCTTCCTCTATTACACTGTGGTTACTTATAATGAAGTCCTTCCATCAAATCTACTGTAACATAAAACAGCCTGGCTGAAGCTCACAAATACTGAGCCAAATACTGATCCCTTTTGCTTTTAGAGTATTTATGTTGTTATTTTGGGTGTGCGCATATGCAAGTTAATAAAATATCAACACCTCGGGAAAGACTATTCATCCTGTCATAAAGTTAAAAAGTTACACGATAAGAATATCAAAAGCATCTAGTCTACTATAGTTCACGTAAAACTTGTCAAATACCATAATTGGTCACAATTATTAATATATTTTGTAAGGTTTAAAAGTTAATTGGTAAATAGTTTAAATAACTTAGGAATTTGTATTGTGATGAGTAGCAAACAACTTCAAATGCATTTAAGTATTTGCAGTGATATAAATGCAATACTTAATGTGAATTTGTTGCGCAGTCAAGCCATAACCCCTTCCACAAACATAAGAGTAAGGACTAAGACGTCAATAAGCCTACTTTAATAGTCATTTAATGAGTTTCTATGATGTAATGTTGCAATTTCAACCACACATGACTACAGACAACCGCATTTCATTTTCAAAACATCTGCTAAAGCAGACTAAAAGTACAGGCTCCGACAGAAACCCACGCTCAGAGTCACATATCTTTTACCTCCATCCTGGGGAATGTGCCAGAGATCGTCCCCTCGTGCTTTTTTCTCTAACGGCCTCTTGGAGCAGACTGCCTGCTGGTTTGGAGTAGACTGAGTATCGCAGCGGGCACTGAGAGGAGCACTGTGTTTATATCTGGAGCCAAGTCAGCCTCATGGACGAGAGGGAGGAGTGAGAAACTTTTACGCGCTCCCAAAGCGCTGTCAAGTATGTAAGTAAAAAAAAAAAAAAATACTACTTCTGCCAAGTCTTTCAAAATAAAGTCCACCGTCTGAAGGAGCCTTTAGAGAAAACAAATTAAAAAAAAAGGTAAACCGACATAAACCAAAAACATAACTAAACAGACCCACCATCAATTGAAAGAAGTGAGGTTATATATATTCAATGGACAAGTCCAACATAAACTCATGGGGGAAACAAAGTTGACCATTAAACCTATGGAGTTAGATCAGTCTCAGTATTCACAAATGTATTTCAATGCACACACAAATATATTTAATTCTATATAAATGTAAAACAAATCCACAAATAAAAAACAAGATTCACAAACGTATTTCTGATTCACACACAAATATTTGTAGTTTTGTATATATGTAATAGAAATTCACAAATATATAATGTATATTTAAAAACACATCTTGTATCTTGTTACATTTATATACAAACTGTTCAGTCTGCAGTTACAAACTGTTTGTCATTTGTGAACCTCACTGCATTTGTGTGTGGGACTTTTGAGACTCCTCTGCCGTGGTTAGAGTCACAAATGCATTTTTTTCAGCAGGGAAATTTCTGTAGCCAATCAGATGTCTCCTTCCTATTGCAGGAAGACAATGTAGGATACGGCACCAAAGTAAACAAAAAGAGAGCATGAGTCCAAGACTCCCCTTCTTTCATCACCACTGATGGTAGCTCCCACTTCCTGTAGGCAGTCTTTAAAATGTCATCTTTGACAGACAGCAGCATGTTGTAAGGGGACTATGGAGGACTAAAAGTGCCAAAATGAAATATATAAATATAGAATTAATTAAAACATTAAGTGTGTCATCAATTATTTAATATTGGAAATAAATCAACAAATATATAAATAAATATAGAATTATTTAATTCATTAAATGCATGTGTTATTAAATGATTAAATAATTATTTAATGTGTCATTAATTATTTAAAATGTTCATTCATTCTATCTAAAACACATCTATTTATTCCACTATTTATTTAATTATTTCATGTTTCCTGCTCCAGCAGTGCATCATGAAATAATTTTATCTGTCATCCTCTCCCATCAAACTCAGTGGGCGGGATTAACGCTGATCGAGTCACAAACCATTGCTTTGGTCTGCAGGGTTGCCAGACTAGGCGGTTTCCCACCAAACAAACAAACAAACAAACAAACATGGCAGCAACTATGTATACATGAAGTGAATTTTAAGAAGTTCTTTAAAAAAATGAGGCTCTGGCTTGTGTCCAGGATGCTCGGGGACGTCATTCACAGACATGACCAAGAACTTGGAAGTGGAAATATTTTCCCTTCAGAGCACTGTGGAGGAGATCTTGTGGTCAGCAAGTTCCCGTTGTTCCAGGAACCTTGCTTGCCCACAATACTGCAGTAGCAAGCTTCTTCCTCCTTAAATTGAGTGTTTATTCATTTTTAACACTAGAATCTTATTGCTAATCTGTCATGCCATATTTGTTCCGGCTTCACTCAGGACTATTTGATTGCACTTTGGATGTTGATATGTGATATATGTGTGGTTTGTTTTTAGCTATGTGCACACTGAAGGTTTTTACTGTAGTTCCTAACAGATAATTAATGTTTGAATTTGAATTGATACAAACTTCTTGCTGTATGAGCTTTTGACTCTCTTCTCACAAACTCTACTGAAGTGGGGTGTTAGACTGCTTCCAAGAGCGGCCCGACCCATCACCACCATGCCCAACACGATTTCTCTCTCCACTTCCTTCCTGTTCTGACCTCAACCTGCTGAGGAGACCTTCAAGTCAGCAGTGTCTTGGTTGACCTTGAACTCCTCAACCAGATGTCGGAAGGGAAGCTGCAGCTTGTTTTTTTTTGCTTGTAAAATGATGACCAGAGGAGGAGGCAGGATTCCTAGGCCTGTGTCCTTTATGAAGATCTTGCCAGGGTCTTAACTGGCTTCTGATTGGGTGATGGAATTTAATCCTCTTCAAGAAAGAGGACCAGAGACCTGGATTTTTGTTAAAGCAAATCTTTTCAGGTCCCTGACTTCTGTACACTACTATGATAAATTGTTGCAGATACATTGATAAATAGATTTTAAATAGACTTCCTCCCACTGGAGTGTGGACCAAGCTTTTAAACTATAAAACTATAATGTAACTGCAACTAAATAAACCTAAACAGGCAAACACTGCAAGGCATCCCAGTGGCATGGTGGTTAGGCTGGACCTTGCTAACACCTAGGGCTCTATCCAACACAAGCTGGTGGGGAGAGCTCTGTCCAGTTACCATATCCCAGAGAAGATCCAAAGCTTCAACTATCACAACAACATTAGCCTGAATGTGTCCTCAGGATCACTGACATCAGCATGGCATTGGCTGAAGAAGGGCATCATTACCGGCTGCTCAAGCTCGGTTCACCTGTGCATTGGCCATGGACATGCTTGTGAAATATGTGAAGTCTGCAGAGGTCCAATGTGTGATTCAAAATTGGAATAACTCCTCTCAGGTTTTAGTTTACTTTTCTACTTTTACAACTGAAAATGATAGTGTGTAATCTCATCTCTCATTAAAAACATTGTATTTACAAGTATGTCATTAAACCAAACTACCCAGGGCCCCTCCTCCCAGCGAGGCCCGGGATGTATGGTCCCACTTTTCCGACACATGTTGTGCAAACAATTCACATTTGAAAACATAAAGTAAACCAAGTATACTTCAAATACATTTACTTTACTTTGGCACACATACAATATTACCACACATTTACTGTGTACTGTACAAAAGTTAAAATTGCACATAACATAGCAAAGGCATCCATGAATGAGACACTAAGGCAGTGGTACTCAGCCTTGTTAGACTTAAAATTGACATTGACTAAAAAATATTTCTGCAAGAGCCACAATCAAAAAACCTCTTTCTGTCCTAAAATATGTGTGGGGAAACACAGTGACATGACTTGCAAATAATGATTTCTGCTGACAATGTTTCCCTTTTTTAAATGATTACTTTGGATTTTTTTTGTCCAAGTAGGACCTAAAAGAGCCACATCTTGTCCAAATGAACCACATGTGGCTCGAGAGCCTCGGGTTGAGTATCACTACACTAAGGCAATAAGTGCACCAACAGTTACTGAATAGACCTCACAGTAGCACATGTGCATATAACTAGTCTGACGTCTACACCCTGTAAGAGAGTCTTCATGAAAATATATGGAAAAGGCCGTCCCAATCTTCCTCCTGCGCAGAGTCAAGGCTGTTATCATCAGCGGGTTCAGTGGTTGTGCTTTTAGCACCTAGTCCCGACGTTTCTAGTCAGAAGTCTTTATCTTCAGAGGATGAAATGACCATCACCTCCCGAGTCTTAAAGTCCCACACTGCTGTGAGATGGAAGGCCATGTTGGAGAAGACAACCAGATACTCAAACAGAGCGAAAAACGTATAACCTGTTGAAAGATGAATCAGGAGCGTGTTATAGGCATGGTTTAGCCAGCATGCTGTAGCTTTTATTTTACACAATAGTTGGTATGACTTAAATCTTTTTTCTCAAACTTATTGTATAGATACTTACTCCCTGATTCACAGTACATGTTATGTTTCCAATAAAAGAATCCAGCAAAAACGCAGCAAGATACATTGAAAAATAAGAAGCGCACTTTCCAGTGGTGAGACTTGGCATCCTATAAGGGAGGAAGAGAAAATGTACTGAACGGACAGATGTAAAGTTACATATTGCAAACACCATTAGGAGTTTTTAGTGCCCTCTGTCGTATTTTATACTGTTTCTTACCTCAGGATTTAATGAATACTTCTTAATAGCTTTCCATAAACGGCAGGTTATCATCATGTGGATAATAGAGCTGACAATGAAGAGGAGAAAACCTTCTTTATGTACAACTACAAAGGAAAAATGTTCAAAGAGAGGAGGAAATATGGTTAATAATGGACAGTAATGACAATAATTTATCACCAAATTAAAGTTAAACTATGGATATGTAAATCAATATGCTCAAACATTTCAAAGCTTTAACACATTTAATTAAAATCTCAGTTAGTTAGGCAGCTCCACATCGTGTTTGTGCAAAGTAAAATAAAAGTTTGAAAAAACCTCTTCAATTAAAAGAAAGCATTACTCACAGAAAGTTTCGCTGGATGATACATATGTGAGCAGCAGGAGGCTGAGGTTCTCCAAAATAGAAAAGGTCAGGTTCAGGCATGTGAGTGAACAGAGTGAGCTCTCAGGAAACTTTGAGGCAAAACGTGTCCTGTAAAATTTGAAGTATGTAAAAGCCAAAAGGAACCTCGGTGCTGAGTGCAGTCCGATGCAGAACCGCCATATGTGGCACTCAGGACTCAGGCTTATCGAGGCACTGATAGATGGCAGGTAATTTGGAACCTGAAACAAACACAGCGAAGATTAAGTATAATTTGACAAGTGCATGGGGCATCCAGTGGTAGAAAAACACCAAGCCATCTGCGGACAATGTTCCACCTAATCTTATGGATTGTTAAAGCCCTAGAAATAGACTCACAAAGACACATAGATTCAATTTATCGGAAAAAAAATAATAATAATTGAGATTTAAATGTCCAAATCTTGGGATTATAGGAGAGGAAAGGAAGGAACATTATTTTATTTGAAAAGTCAAATGTAGAGGAGCGAAAGCATTTGGATCGAAGTATTTTAAAATTTACTTAAGAGTCATACTTGATTATATGCACATAGTCATATTATAACAGCATCAAAGATGAAACAGTGATGGTTCAGTCTGACAAAATGCAGACATTACCTGGCAATGTGTACCAGTAGAGTCCTCGAAGTGAAAGGTGGAGGATATGAGGACACAAGTTATCAGTCCTAGCAATGGCAGACATACAGTAGCCAGGACACAGGTGCTGAATGACACCCTGATGAGAAGGGGCCTCTCATACCCAAAGACAGATGAGCCTTGTAGCATCTTGGTCTAAATCACTAAGAAAAAAAAGATTTTAACAATATA